GACGCCTTTTTCAGCTAGCGTCGTTATAATGGCCAGTGGATTTGCTAGTTCGAAGGCCTTCTCCAGGTCGAGGAAGACCACCAAAGCTGGTTTAGTGACCACTGTGCTGTGTATCTCGGCGGTGTTGTTGCCTGTGCCGGTGTTCTCGGTGTAAGCAAAAATGTGAGGGTGTGGTCCGCCTACTTTCCACTTGAGTCGGTTGAGAGCCATTCTTTCTCCCGTCTTCGCTATGCAGCTGAGGAGGGAGATGGGCCTCGGTTTCTCTGGTTCTCTGGGCTTCGGAATGGGCTGTATATCTGCCTTCTTCCATTCCGGTGGAAATCTCTGTGCTGTCCACGAAGCATTGATGACTTGTAGCAAACCCTCGTGTCCGGCTGTACCGGCATGGGAAAGCATGGAGTAGGTTATCCTGTCGGCCCCTGGTGCTGTGTCCTTGCTTCGTTTTATCGACGTCTGGAGTTCTTGCTGGTTGAAGGGTCTGTCGGTGTCATAGAATATAAGAACATAAGAATGGAGGAAACTGCAGCGGGCCAATTGGCCCATACTGGGCAGTCCCATTTACACCCAACCCCTATTGCTCATACACAGTAAGCATCCAACCTATGTTTGAAGCTATCCAGCGTATTTGAGTTAATGATGATATTTGGTAACTTGTTCCATTCATCCACTACTCTGTTTCTAAACCAGTGTTTACCTATTATGCGCCTAAACCTAAATTTGTCTAATTTAAAATCATTGTTATGAGTTCGCTCCTGGTTGGATAGTTTGAGTACCTTTGTAATTTCCCCTTTGTTTAGCCCTGACTTCCATATATACACCTTTATCATGTCGCCCCTCGCTCTGCATTTCTCGAGGGAGTGCAAATTAAGATGCTTTAACCTGTCTCTGTACTCAAGGTTCCAAATGCCCGGGATTAGTCTTATCATTCTCCTCTGGATTCTTTCCAAGGATTCTATAGCCATTCTGTAATATGGTGACGAGAACTGAACTGCGTAATCCAAGTGAGGTCTCACAAGCACAAGATATAATCTTAAGATGACCTCGCTAGTCTTGTAACTAACACTCCTTTGAATGAACCCAAGTACTTTATTAGCCTTGTTACGAGCAAAAACACAGTGTTTACTTGGCTTAAGATTCCTACTTATCATTACTCCTAAATCTCTCTCGCAGTCGGATTTCACAATAGCATCATTGTTCATCTGGTATCTGGTTTCCCTGTTTACATCTCCTATACTGAGTACTTTACATTTGTCCACATTGAATTTCATCTGCCATTTTTCAGACCATTCGAAAAATTTGTTTAGATCTTCCTGTAATTTGCGGAGTCCTCGTCAGATATAATTACACGTCCTATTTTAGTGTCATCAGCAAATTTACTTATATTGCTGTCTATGCCGATATCTATGTCGTTTATGTTTATAATAAATAATAAAGGTCCAAGTACTGAGCCTTGGGGAAGTCATCTTTACTATTGCAGGCCTCTTCAATCATCTTGAGTCTGGCCTGTCGCAGACGCCGTTGTGTCTCGGGAGGTTTTTCGTTGCTGCTTGGTCGGAGAACAGTTTTGTAAGTCTCTCGGCTTCCTCTTCTGGGTTGGAATGGGTTGGTGGTGGTGTTGTTGCCTTCCCAGATGCCCTTCGGATCTGGGCCCACATCTTGTCGAGGGAGGTGTGCTCGTTCAGTTCGGAGGACCACTTGAGCCAGCTTACGCTTTTGATTTCTTCTTTCTCTTCCCTGGTATCCTTGACTATTACTTACAGGAGATGTCTGTTTGTTTCCGTGGGATGTCTTCTGCAGTTTCTTCGGGCCATGTTGAGTTCTTTCACCCAAGGACAGTAGTACCAGTAATCCTTGTACTGTTTTTGGAATCGCCTCTTCTGCCGCTTGGTGAAACGCCTCGACCAATTGTTGGTGGAGGGTTGTCTCGTCCACGGGTGGTGTAGATTAATTTAGTCTTTTTCTCTCTTCTTTAAACTCTTATCCCCCCCCCCTCCCAAGTCCCGTTCTGGGTCAATGACTTGTGCCCGGGTGGGCTATTCTCCTTAAAAAAAGTATTAGGTATAAGGTTTTATGTGTGAAGCCTAAAGGATGAGGTTTTATGTTTCACAGTATTAGTCTTATATCGGTCTATCCTGTATCAAACACGGGCCTCGTTGTGCAGCGCTGGGCTAGGTTACCTTAGGTAATTTGGTTAAGTTAATTAAGGCTCGCATCAGGGTGGTTAATCTTCAAGTGACATAAGCTCGAGGGACACTACCCATTAAACCTTTAAATGAGGATTTTCCTAATAGGGATCATCATCTTTTGTGTGTATTGTTATTACTGGGTTTAAATTGGTTCACATCTGGTAACATTTGTTTTGTGTCATATAAGACGGCGTTTACTGTCTTAACATAACCAAACTTACACTAAATTAGGTTAGGTTAATAATAATGCTATTAACATTTTGTTTATATTATGATTACCATTATACATTATAATTACTACATTATACAATACAATTATACATGGTCGGGTATATAAACACCAGTCTGAATTTACCTACAGAATATGTATTGAATTATCCTTCAGTGTATGAAAAACGTTGTATAATATTTTATGTATAACTTTGTATATGTATATTGTTGTTGCTTTTATGTATCATTTACAATAGATAATCTCTTTCTCTCTCATTTAGTTTTCTTTCAAAATTTGTTGACTCATAGTCAATATCTGCGACTGTTCCTGGCTCTGGGGCCGAAGATCTCGTTCCCTGTACTACTACTACAATAAATAATAATAATAATAATTACTCCCAGAAATTATCATTATTTCACTATTGTTACGGAAACACGTAGGTATATTGCCACTCTTTAGTAAGAACAAGATTTAGGCTTGATCATGAAGGTGGCGTTCTTGAGTGTGGTTCTGTCAGGGTACCACGTGTGCCAGTTAATCCCTATTGTACTCTTCTGTTTCTCCAGTAACTGGCTGGTGGGGCTCACATGATGACAAGCATTGTACCAAAACCCTCCATGGTGGGATATTGCGCAGTTGCCAGTTCCTGTAAGCACATCATATCCTGTTTTATTAACCCTGTCAATAATGAGAGCAACTTTATATATATATATATATATATATATATATATATATATATATATATATATATATATATATATATATATATATATATATATATATATTTGCTGATAACCACAAGGAAAGAAGAAAACACGAAGTTCCCAAGCGCTTTCGTGTAATTCACATCTTCAGGGGTAAGTACAGACTAAGGAGAAGTACAATACAAGGTGTATATATAGAGAGGAGGGTGAGATCAGGTCCACAATGGTCAGGTATTAGGTAATGACCCTACTAATCTTTAAATATCACCGCAACGGTCGGTAGTCAGGTCAGAGGGTAAGGTGACCCAACCTTCTCACCTGGTTACAAATCTCTTAATTACAAAATTGTCCAGTTTGTACATGCCATTACTCAAATTCATGTTGAATGCTTCGGTATGTTTAATGAGACTAGATTTTACGATGTTCCTACTATCAATTGAATTACAAGGTAATATTGACGAGGCATTATCCCAGTCAATGCAATGCTTGTTATCCCTCAAATGAACAAACAGAGCATTGGGAACTTCGTGTTTTCTTCTTTCCCTGTGGTTATCAGCATATACCTAGATCACGCGCACCTACAGTGATTTACTTGCATATATATATATATATATATATATATATATATATATATATATATATATATATATATATATATATATATATATATATATATATATATATATATATATATATATATATATATATATATATATATATATATATATATATATTAGACTGGCTACCGCCGGACGATTTTATTCAGCAGATAGAGACCCCCAAGAACCCAAGAATTTAAAACTAGTTGAGTCACTCGGCCATTCAAACCTCCCTAACAAATTTTATCTACCTTCAACACTGTGGAAATATATAAAGGACACACACACACACACACACACACACACACACACACACACACACACACACACACACACACACACACACACACACTGCTATTATAGATAACAAGTATTTTAGAGAACGATGGTGACTGTAATTAATGGTTTATGAATATACTGAGACCATCGATGAAGTGTATTTTAGTGAAGAAATCTGTGATGTTAGAACTGACTGTCTCTATAGGTATGACTAGGGAACCTATTGCGAAATGTGGTGCGTCAGGTTAAGTAGGGTTAGGTTCGGTTAGGTTATGTTAGGTATAACACTCACCAGCTTTATCGTTATCTCTGTCGGAGGTGGTGAAGGGCATGTTGTCATGGTAACTGAAGGCATCCCCGGCGTCACCTGAGTACTGGCCCAGGTGGAGGCGGAACTGACTGTCCTCGTCATCAACCAGAAACGTTTGATATCTGGCTGAACGACTCTTACCGTCCCAGTCACCCAGATCCACCTTCAGCAACTGCGGCCACCTGTGCGTCAGGTCATGGAGCGCAGCGTTACCTGTCAACACACAAACACACACACACACCAGTGTTACTCCTACCCACACCCTAGAAGGAACTATCACAGATATAAATGTGTTATAGTGACGTGTTGGGTGTAGGAACCATCCACTCGTCAGTGTATTATAGTGACGTGTGTAGGGACCAACCACTCAGCAGTGTGTTGTAGCGACGTGATGGGTGTAGGGACCAGCCACTCAACAGTGTCTTGTTGTGAGGTGTTGGGTGTAAGGACTAGCCACTCAGCAATGTGTTATAGTAACGTGTTGTGTGTAGGGACCAGCCACTCAACAGTGTGTTGTAGTGAGCTGTTGGGTGTAGTAACCAACCACTCAACAGTGTGTTGCAGTGAGCTGTTGGGTGTAGTAACCAACCACTCAACAGTGTGTTGTAGTGACGTGTTGGGTGTAGGGACCAGCCACTCAGCAGTGTGTTGTAGTGACGTGTTGGGTGTAGGGACCAGCCACTCAGCAGTGTGTTGTAGTGACGTGTTGGGTGTAGTAACCAACCACTCAACAGTGTGTTGTAGTGACGTGTTGGGTGTAGGGACCAGCCACTCAGCAGTGTGTTGTAGTGACGTGTTGGGTGTAGGGACCAGCCACTCAGCAGTGTGTTGTAGTGACGTGTTGGGTGTAGGGACCAGCCACTCAGCAGTGTGTTGTAGTGAGCTGTTGGGTGTAGTAACCAACCACTCAACAGTGTGTTATAGTGACGTGTTGGGTGTAGGGACCAGCCACTCAGCAGTGTGTTGTAGTGAGCTGTTGGGTGTAGGGACCGGCCACCCAGCAGTGTGTTATAGTGACGTGTTGGGTGTAGGAATCGGCCACTCAGCAGTGTGTTGTAGTGACGTGTTGGGTGTAGGGACCAGCCACTCAGCAGTGTGTTATAGTGATGTGTTGGGTTTAGAAATCGGCCACTCAGCAGTGTCTTATAGTGACGTGTTGGGTGTGGGAACTGTGTAGATATGTAAATACCAAGATATGTGAACACGTCTGACGCCAAGACTCTGTTACCATTCATTGTACCATTTATTCACATGTCTGTATTACTACATATTATTATAGCATGTCTGATATCTATGCTTATGTCTAATGCCTATGTTCACTTACTATGTACCGATGTACTATGTCTGTACCGCGCTAGTCGAGTAACTAGAAGACCTCATTTATTGTCCTAGTAATGTCTAGCAACTCTCCTTGCCTAGCTAGCTAACTTCCCTCAGATCGGCCCAGGCCTGGTTACGACGAGGAGTTCCTTGTGCTGGCTCCTGTTTCTGTACCGGTTGGTTATCCTGCCAAGTCTTGTACTACTTATTGAATATATCTACTGCTCGTGCCCTGGAGTTTCAAGAACCTTGTCTAGGATTGCATCCCACCACAGGAACCAGCCACTCAGCAGTGTGTTGTAATGATGTGTTGGGTGTAGGGCCAGCCACTCGGCAGTTTGTTGTAGCGACGTGTTGGGTGTGGGGACTAGCCACTCTGCAGTGTGTTGTAGTGACGTGTTGGATGTAAGGACCAGCCACTCAACAGGCAACAGCACTTACCAATCCAGTACTCTGTGTCTGGGTCACCGAAGCCTTCACGGTAGTCTCTCCAGCCTCGGTTGAAGTTGACCTGTTGGTCCAGTGGGCGGCGGGCCAGTACCACGGTCCACCCTCCTTCCTCACCTTCCAGCTCACACCACACCTGCACGCCCTCCTCCTGCCTCTTGCACCTGGGAGCCAAGAACCAACTGTGGCAATGTTCAATTGTACTGAGGTGAATCACAGCGGAGACGCAAGGGGTGACTATATTAAACAGGAAGTAGTTACTCGTGGGATAATGGTAGAGACTGGGATAGATTAATGGATATCGAAGCTTTGATCACCAGAGAGATACAACTCCTGGAAGAAAACTGTTGGAATTGAGGTCCAAGGTCGCCAACCCTAATATATGAGTACGGCACTTTGATTGATATTTATTCAGTAGAAAATACCTTATGGGTTACTTAGAAGTGTGTAGAGATGAGAGGAGACGAGCAGTGAAGAGTCTGAGGTGAGGTGAGGAGTAGGGTACAGAAGACCTTTATTTGGGGAGGTAAAGTGAGGGGTCTCACCTGTATGGAAAGATCTGATACACCCCGCTGCGGGTGTTGCCGGCCAGCAGCAGGTCGTGACAGTCGCGGGGCCTGCCAGGGACACACACATCATATAGTTAATGTGCTCTGTTCACTTATGAAAATTTCTGAAGTGAGTTACACTTATCGCCTGGGACAAACTCTTACACAGACAAGGAACTCATTATTGTGGCGAGGTGTCAGGTCGCCATTAAGTATAAGTTTTCACCCAACATTAAGAGGGATTCTTCAGCCCTAAAGCTCACCTGTTGGTGGGAGTGTTGCAGCTGTTGTCCCCGGTGATTGGTAGCTGTGACTGCAGTGGCTGTGAGGGAGACTGTTGTGGCTGTGAAGCTGTGTTGTCACCTGTAGAGAAGGATGGGTGCCGTGTCGCCAGCTGCCTCACCTCCTGCTGCAGCTGTAGTAGAGGTAACAGGACGGTGTTGATGGCGGCGCTGCACTGCTCGCCGGAGGTAGCAGTGTCTCGCCCACCCACACCCCTCATCTGTTGACTCACCTGCTCTAGTACTCTGCTGTGCCTCACCTGTTCGGTTTCTAGCAGGAGCAGCAGAAGTTGCATGGATATGTCACGGCGGAGAACACCCCCAGCACTTCCTGACACGTCCACACTGGCTTGGTTCTCTTGAATCGGTGTCAACAACGACTTGACATCCTGAACATGGTGGAGAGTATTATTGGTGACCGCCAGGAGCTGCTGTACCACCTCAGGACTAAGATGATGTGCCACACTCTCGTTCTCCTCCATGAGGGGCGTCCCGTGTGAAGGACCGAGTCTCAGCACCAGCAGTACCACCACCAACACGCCTCTTAGGACCATCTTGCTCAATAATGTGACGACTCCCAGCCTCTGCCTTCACTTATATCCTCCACACCTCACAGTCGCCACAAACTGCACCTCAGGGAGATGTTGGCTCTGTTAAGGAGCACAATTCGTTCGTTCAGTGTGTGGTTTCTCCCAAATGTTTAAATATAAATGTGTAGAATATGCTTTACAGTCACTCACTGTCTATGGGTAAACCAATAAACAGTGAGAGACAGAGAGAGAGCCTGAGAGATAAAGAGAAACACACACTATTGGACGCGTTGTCTGCCACGAACAAATAAGAACCAACAGACGAAAAATAAAACACAAGTTATTTTTGGTTTGTTTTCGTAATCGGGAAGTTATGAGCTGAGTTGACGTGTGTTTGTGCACGTGTGTAGTTCAAGAGGCATGGAGAGAGAGAGAGGTCAAGTGTGTAGGTCAAGAGGCTTGGAGAGAGAAGTTAAGACCACGGCGTAGTTTTAGGCTGAGAGAGAGAGAAGAACTTCTAAAAGTTAGTTAATGATACACATGACATTAATAACAGAGGAGATAACAGGTACAATCATACAAATGATCGTACAAGTATGAAATTTGGTATGAACATTCAATGTGAGTTACTTATCACATCTTTGCGATTGGACATTCAAACTTCGCAGATGCCAGCCATTTTCCAAGATGGCCGACGAAATTTGCTTAATCGAAAACATTTATACTGTCACATGTCGGCCGACACTGCTGTCTATGATTGGCTAATTAGGTGATGCTCGAGAACGACTAATGTCAATGAGGGTGATTCACGGCTTCTATGCTTATATAAATTATCTAGTTTTTTGATTTACGATGTTTCTTTATATCAGTGTTATTTAGTTTGGGTTGTTAAAACATTATGTAAGAGCCATATTTTGTTTTATAGGGTATAAGATGTAAGACTTTCGATGTATTGTATTAAGATTAGTTGGCAACTGAGCCATATTTGTGTGTTGGTGGTGATGGTCACGGCAGAGCAGCGTGAGCCACCGACTAAGCTGGTCCGCATGGACAACCAGGAACTCCAGGCCTGGTCTACTCACGCCGACGTGGGGTACAAGATAGCCTCCGAGTTGGGCGTTAAGTAATTGGAGATATTTGGACATGGAAACTTGCTCTGTGGATGTAAATAGTGTGATATATGTCGTTTTTACACTACGAGTTTCCGTAAGCCCTTCACCACCTTTATCGTTTTAATTTGGTTCATATGTTTTATTTATTCTCCTTAACTAAAGTTCTACCACCATAAGACATATACATTACACACTTTGTTTCCATCTAAAGAATCACACACATACACTAATGGAATATTTCAACAAGCATGGTTAATACTTCGTTATAACACCTACTACTTATTACATGCACTCATTAAATATTCACATATATGAACTAAGTATTTTACTACAGGTGGTAATTATATTATGGTAGAATAATGAACTACCTGCTTCCTTATCTTTAATTATTTAAGTCTAGTTTATGATGAAGGCTAGGTTAGTTTAGGGTAGGGTAGGGTACGTTAGGTTAGGTTAGGATAGGGTACGTTAGGTTAGATTAGGGTACGTTAGGTTAGGCTAGGTTAGGATAGGATAGGTTAGGGGTGTTCATTCTTAAGGTGAGAGAAATTATGAGATATGTACTCTATTATTGATCCCAGCTAAACACCAAACGTCATCAATGAAGTAAAACTCAACAACTAGACCACCAAAAATAAATCCAACCATCATCCATCACTACATCATCGACATTATCCTTCAAACTTTTGCTATTATTAAACTCAATGATTAATGAAGGCTTGAGTGTTGAGCCGATGAGGTGCTTGTGATAACCTACAACACCACCAACTCACTAACTATTAATCAAGGTGTTTATATTGTGTTCCTCGAGCACATCTGCGTCAGGAGGGAGTTTGAGGGAGTGCGTCTCGAACTTTGGTGATATTGACGACGACCTCACTCGAGAACCTCAAGTCCTCATACCTGAAAATTAATACCAGAATCTATGCTTTAACTTTACAACTAATTATGTGTTTATATTTTATACCTAAAACCTTCTTTGTATCTAACCCTGTACTTCATTAGAACGTAGGAAAGAAGCAAACTGTAGTAGTCCTGTTTACACCCAACCATCATCACTCATATATCTGCCCAACCTATATTTGTTAATGTTTGGTAATTTGTTCCATTCTTCGACATATAGATTCCCAAATCAACCTTCATTATTTTACACCAAGATAGTTTAAATACCTTCGTTACATCACCTTTCTTTAACCCTAACTTTCATTTATATACTTCGATCATATTGCCTCTTTTTCTACATCTCTCAAGAGAATGTAAATTCAGATTTTTTTCCTAATGGTTCTTCCTTGGTCGTGAAGGAGAAAATCTCCCGAGACAAAATTTCACGTTTTCTGTATTTCAAAAATGGATAGAAAACGGGTTATCCATGTGTGACACTTTTCTGGCATTTAACCTAATATAAGTAAATATGATTGGTATTGTATTGTATTGTATTATACATTACCTTCCAGAATATATATATATATATATATATATATATATATATATATATATATATATATATATATATATATATATATATATATATATATATATATATATATATATATATATGTAATATTCAGAAATTTCAGTGTAATTTCAAATGTCGCGCCATTGGCGATACTGAGTTTCAAGGTCGTCTGATGGAGGACAGCGCTTAGAAACAGTAGTGAGAGAGTCACCACTGCACCCATATAATATTAAGTTTACTCTGGCGATTTTTTCTGGAGGCGAATTATGAAATGAAATATCAGTTATTAAATTGAAAATAATTATAGATCGTTTCCCAGTCTGAAAATGTTGCATACGTCCTAATTAAGCTGTTAATCGTCTGGTAAATAAGTCACTCCTGAAAAGTGTGAACACGTGAGCAAGCGTGGCTTAGGGAGTTGTGAGAGAGGTCAAGCTAGCAGGACCATCTCTGTTCTGTACCCAGGAGAGATGGATCGAGTGAACTGGTTCATTCGTTTATTTAACATCAGTATTAACAAGTAAGTCTTATTCACTCTCAGACAAAGCTTGATAGGGCGGTAGGAACAAACGGTGATGTGAGACAATAGCTAACAGCCCGGGTTTTTGAGGGTTCTGTAGAGCCCACGCGGTGTGAAAACGTCTACAGTATGATAATGTCCACTGGCGGTATGAGACACGAGTGGTGAAGCGAGCTGTATGACCGTCCACTGACCTGAGTTTGAGCCACGCTGTTAAGTATGGTGAGATTTGGAGTGTTAATAAAACAAGATATGATGTGCTTACAGAGACTGTCAACTGCGCAATATCCCACCATGGAGGGTTTTGATACAATGGTTGTCATACTGTGAGCCCCACCAGCCTGTTACTGGAGAAACAGAAGAGTACAATAGGGATTAACTGGAACACGTGGTACCCTGACAGAACCACACTCAAGAACGCCACCTTCATGATCAAGCCTAAATCTTGTTCTTACTAAAGAGTGGCAATATACCTACGTGTTTCCGTAACAATAGTGAAATAATGATAATTTCTGGGAGTAATTATTATTATTATTATTTATTGTAGTAGTAGTACAGGGAACGAGATCTTCGGCCCCAGAGCCAGGAACAGTCGCAGATATTGACTATGAGTCAACAAATTTTGAAAGAAAACTAAATGAGAGAGAAAGAGATTATCTATTGTAAATGATACATAAAAGCAACAACAATATACATATACAAAGTTATACATAAAATATTATACAACGTTTTTCATACACTGAAGGATAATTCAATACATATTCTGTAGGTAAATTCAGACTGGTGTTTATATACCCGACCATGTATAATTGTATTGTATAATGTAGTAAATATAATGTATAATGGTAATCATAATATAAACAAAATGTTAATAGCATTATTATTAACCTAACCTAATTTAGTGTAAGTTTGGTTATGTTAAGACAGTAAACGCCGTCTTATATGACACAAAACAAATGTTACCAGATGTGAACCAATTTAAACCCAGTAATAACAATACACACAAAAGATGATGATCCCTATTAGGAAAATCCTCATTTAAAGGTTTAATGGGTAGTGTCCCTCGAGCTTATGTCACCTGAAGATTAACCACCCTGATGCGAGCCTAAATTAACTAAACCAAATTACCTAACCTAACCTAACCCAGCGCTGCACAGCGAGGCCCGTGTTTGATACAGGATAGACCGATATAAGACTAATACTGTGCAACATAAAACCTCTTCCTTTAGGCTTCACACCTAATACCTTATACCTAATACTTTTTTTTAAGGAGAATAGCCCACCCGGGCACAAGTCATTGACCCAGAACGGGACTTGGGAGGGGGGGGGGGATAAGAGTATAAAGAAGAGAGAAAAAGACTAAATTAATCTACACCACCCGTGGACGAGACAACCCTCCACCAACAATTGGTCGAGGCGTTTCACCAAGCGGCAGAAGAGGTTATTCCAAAAACTAAACCCACATCAAGACAGTACAAGGATTACTGGTACTACTGTCCCAGGGTGAAAGAACTCAACCACAGAGTGAATATGGCCTGAAGAAACTACAGAAGACATCCCACGGCAACAAACAGACGTCTCTTGCAAGTCATAGTCAAGGATACTGAAGGTTCCAAGTGTTCCCTGAAGAAGGCAGTGATGGGTAGGGAAACACCGGGCAACACTGAAGTCCATTTATTAACGGATAGGAGAAATACAAGTAGTGACTAGCGTGTGCCATGCACGGCCCACGGAGTCAGACTGAGACTGCCTTGCCATATGGCAGCCTCGGGGCAATGCTCATAACACGTGCAGTAACACCCCCAGTAACACCCGTAACACCTCCAGCAACACCCGTAGCACTCCCAGTAACACCCGTAACACCCCCAGTAACACCCGTAACACCTCCAGCAACACCCGTAGCACTCCCAGTAACACCCGTAACACCCCCAGTAACACCCGTAACACCTCCAACACCGTAACACCCCCAGT